TGTTCAGAACCAAGCTGGGTGTCACAGTCACACATACACCAGGAAACCCCTGGAAAATGCTGTCTTGTATGGCATCTCCAGAGGACGCCAGACGTCGGCTTATCTTCTTCCAAGTCCTGGTTCCTTTACCTTTTTATGGGTCCCGCTGAACGGAGGTGAAAAAGGGTTGTAAATGTCATACGACTGTACCAACGCCAGACGATCACGTTGGGAGCCCAAGAAAAACCAGTAATACTTACTGCTGTCTGCTGGTTCCTATTGGTTGCTGCAGTATGTAGCTAGCTATCCTGAGATAATGATCATAGCTTATGCTGATAAGTGGAATTAAGTTTCCTCCGCTAGTAAAGGGCCCATTACATTATATTTCTATACCTAGTAAAACTAGTAATAGAATCAATCCGGTTGTAATGGGCTACAGCCATCGCATGGGGTATCTTCACCACTGATGGGCGACTCCAGGTAGAAGTCGAGGCATGAAGGGTTACATAGAAACGACCAACTCAAAGTAAAGGTCCCTTGACCCTTATCGAATCAACGGAGGTCATTTTTTGAATCAAGGGGGAACGAGTGTACTGTACTTTCGTAAATCTCTGCGGGACGCCATTCACACTGGTTCAGTCCCCTTTAAATGGTGAAAGTTCTCATTGTCCAGAAGAGACGAGTAGATGGTCGTTCCAAGGACGTGAGAACTATTTAATGCTTGTAAACACGGTTTGCCGCCTTTCATTCTACATACCGACGATAGTTAAGATACTTCCCTATAACATAATCAGAACGCTTTGAGTATTCCGGGCAGGAACCCTGTTGCCGTCTTTTCGAGAAAAGATTTCGTGGGTTTTCGCTTTGCGGGTAGGACTGCTTCCAACGATAATCTGGGAATCAGGCCCCAAATCCCATCCAAATCCCATTCTACCCGAGTCAGACAAAACTTCCACCCTTCTATTAGATTGGCAAAATGAAACGAAATTTGTCTAATAGCCTGAAAAATCCTTTTTTATCCCTTGAGTCAATGTGTAGACTGGGTACACATTCAAGTCTCTTCACAGCTCCGAGTGTAAGTCAAGTACAAGGCGCATTTCAAAAAGCAAATAATCCTAAGCATCTACCCTGTATTCGAGTAAAACTCGTTGAAATAAGGATAGGTAGCCGTTCTCGTCGTACAGCACTGGAGCAATACATTGAGGAAGGACTTTATCTTTGGCCTATTGATCCACCGGAAATCGGAATTTGTACCGTGGGCGTCCCACAGCAGTCAAATCACATACGTCCCCGTCGCTATTCGGGACGGCTTCTTTACTGCGCTGCCCTCGACCACCCGAGGGGTTTGTTGCAGCGGGGACGAGGTCATGTGCTTCCCCAAAAAGAGCTCCAAATCAAAAGAGGATATGGATTAGCCACGACGAAATCACCAGGATAAACCACTACTAGCACCTATGGCGGTGTGCAGGCGGTCCAGGAAACTTTAATATCACCACAGTTCGGAATTGCAAGGGACGCAGAGGAAGCAACTCTACTTCTTATGGTGTCATATGCTTATCGTAACCATACTATTTTCAGCCGATTATTTCCATAAATGTTTTACTCTTTATAAGTGTACAGACCCCAATAATTGGTGCCGAAGTAGGCAGGCGGCCAGTATATGTGTGGTGTGTGGGTGGGCGTGGGGCGTGGGGTACGGGTTAGCAAATATTTGAACGGTACGCAGGTAAAAACAATACGAAACGTGTACTCTGACCTTAAGAAAACCCTTGAAGATGCAGAGAAGTCAAAATGCTCCGATAAGTGCGATTGAATGTAAATAAAAGGATAGAGAGGGAGGGTTGAGGAGGAGGCTCAATGAGAAGATGGAAGCAAGGGAGTGGGTGGAGGAGAGCATGGGAACAGTTACAGAGCAGTGGTCCGATACTTTGAAGAGTTAACTAGTTCACAAACCGATCGTAGTAGTTGTTCCTGCTTTTCCAACATCACTGAGCGCTCATTTTCTAACTCTTGTACTCGCTGATACGTCGAAGAGTTGAAGTCCTGGAAAAATATAAGTATATTTAAACAAATAGTTGACCTACAAAGTGCTAACTGTAGTAAAATATTTTACTTTGACCAATTTGGTTTTTATTGATTTAAATGGATCTGTTGTGAAGGTTTTTGATGCCTGAATCTATCACATACCATAATAAACCCATCACATTTAGCAGAAATACAATATCACTATAAGATTTCCAGGTTGTGAAAATTATCAACTAATGGTGACGTCATTGAAAATTTTAATAAACCACATCAGCAATGCTTTGCAGCTGAAAATTTTCATCAAATTTCGGTTGCTAGAGGTGAAGGCTCTTGTGAACTTCTTGGGTGGTCCCTGCCATTACTTCTACCCGAGCAACCTAAGTGGTTTCTACAAAATTCTGACCCCAAGGGGCGTGTTCCTCTGCATAGCTGATTTTTCTAATAACTTTCTTAACTAGTAATAGAACAAATAGGTGCAAGCATATTTGAGAACGAAATTTCACAAAAAAATTTGAAATTTACCTGATTCGGCTGCATTTGAGCGTACGCATGCGGCGGTTGATGCATGATTTGTGGCTGTGGAGGGTAATAAGTTTGCTGCGGTTGTTGCTGCTGTAATAACTAGTAATTGGTATTGTAAAGGTAATAATGGGGTGTAGTGAAGCTGAGTGACAAATGGACTTGCTACCAATTAATATATTGGAAACGAGATTGCATCCGGCCACTTCAAACAACTTCCGGAAATCGAAAGAGATATAAAGCGAATAAAGCGAATAGATGTATCAAATTACTAACCTGCATCACGTTGTGTTGATGGAATTGCTGTTGCTGTTGTTGTTGTTGACAAGCATGACGTTGACGGATTCCCTCCTCTTGCATGTGCTCAGCTAAATCGTAATAATCGACACTTTCCACTAGTTGATGGTCAATTCAGTGGTAACGGACCGGAACAAGACCCCATTACACCTAGGACCCGTAGGCCAGTCACTCCTCTTAAACACTGGAACAATATTTAGAAAAGGATCGATTCGCCTTGGCCGTTCCTAATCCAGGATTCGATCCCCGGACCGTAAGTGTGGTAATGGCGACGCCTCCCAATCCCGCCTTCTGTTCACTCCTTTCCTTCGGACCCTTGGCCTCGTGCTTGGTAAACCTACTAGAAACAGAGGGGGCTTAGCGAGGACATAAAACTCAAAATGGACCGAGTTACTAGATTCGAAAGTCACCTTATAACTTGTCGGCTTGACTTCAAGAAAGCACAACAAAAGCGGAACAAGGAAACCCGGAATTCGCCTAGCCTATGGTACCAACCGTGCCCAATGCTGCCCCAAATTAAGCCCAAAAGGACCATGTAAATTTGATTCGATGGTGTAAAACGTTCGAAGTGAACAGGTTGAAAAAACTCACGTATTCGTGGATCGTACCATGTTGTTGTCTGTGTGTTGTGATCAACGAAATATCGATTACCGTGTTCATCGAGTTTCATTTCCCAATTTGGTGGCAGCGGTCCAAGTGCACCCATTTTATCACCCAGCTAAATACCCATTATACTACTTTTATTACCTTGTGGTACTGTTATGAAAATTCCTTTTTATACGCTTACCTGAGAACCTGGATCATGCATTCCAACAATCATCGGATCAAGCGAATGACTCTTCCCACGTGGATCGAATAGTGAAGAGGGAACAGATCTGAAACTTTACAGTTACTCCGATCAAACAGAGATGAATGGAGCAAACTGGTGGCTTCAACGGTCACTTTGATGGAATTCGTTGCGCGCTTTCTGCACGCGTAAAATCGATATCTATCCTTGAATATAGGGCAATCTAATACCATTGATATTTCGATCTATTGGCAAACAATACCATTAATATCTCGATTAATGGTATTGGATTAATTGTTTCAGCCTTAAAAAGTAAATGTTCTCATACTCATGGAATGAGGGTTGGGTTCCGAACGATGCATTGTAGTTGGCCTCATGCGAAACTGATCGATTGTGTTGTGGCACTCTAAAAACCAATTTTTCCATTTTAGTTAAACTCTGTACATAATTTTNCAAAGATTCGTAGTCAAAAATGATTGCTGAACTGACGTGAATGCTGGGTCCGGCATTGGTGGGATGGCTGATACGGATTTGGAATGATGATGGGTGATCACTTGTGGAACGGCTACTGGTCTGAATATCGATCAATTACTACAAGCATTTTGACTTACTTGACTTAGTCTTTCATGATATTCATTGCACAATTGAGAACGAATTTCATGTACGAAATGAAAAATGGTCTTCGGACACAATGATCAAGCGCCACGAATCATAGGGCCACTGATATTTACTTACTTGTTTACCTATCTATTTCCCCTTTCCGCCTGGTAGCATAATGATCTATACATGGCTGGTAGGCAAAAGTGATAATTAGTAATTTCTCACCAACAAATGAAAAGACTCCCAGGTTTTTGGTGTTATGAATTCCACGAAGTCAACCTGCATTACTATACGATCGCCTTGGGTGGTCGTCAAAAGTATCCCGAGTTTGTCGCTTTTGCAACGTTTACGAATAAGTAATAATATTTTGTACTTCACTGAGCATCCGTGAACACAAAAGGCTTTTTCCAGTGTGAAAGCAGAAGCTCTAGAAAACCAAAAAGAAAAGAAGTGGAATTTGAAATTCAAATCAGTCGATGACAGTTCGGCAGCGATGGCATCTGCAATTCTTTTATTCTTTTGTCTGAATTCTGCCCTAGGTCCACAGAAACCATAAACCAGGAATTCCTACGATATTCTGCACCATCACTTCCTGGGCATTTCCGGTTTCCGGAAATTACAGCTGTATTTCAGCTCATTCCCGTTTCAAAAGTGGCCCCCTGCATGTTTTCACGAAGCTCATAATGCAGAATGCCAATCGTTCTTGCAGTTCATTATATCACGAGTTAAGAAGGAGGACACATGTTGACAAGCTACTCATGTTTCAACGTAATGTTCTATTTTTACATCTTACTCGATGACTTACTCTTCAACTACTCTCGACAGTAAAAACTACCACCTTGGTAATCATACCCCAACTAGTTAGAAAAAAACTCGACGACTAAACAAGACACAAATCTTAAATCTTGTGAAAGTTTAGCGATCTATGGAGGGGCACAAGTTCGAGTAACTGTATAAGTTTACTGGTAATCATAGCGATACTGTATCTTCTTGGTATGTTCTCTATATCAACTAGTAATTACATACCGATTGTACAAGTCTAAATGATGTGTGTCGAGCTCTGGTGCGCTGGCTTGCTTTTTATGAAACGGCGTCGAAACCTGCAATGTGATGATAAACAGCTGTTCGTGGAACATCGACAACGGAAAAGCTGAATTTATCACGACTTTGCTCGCTTTTTCTCCCCCTTTCAAAGATCGATGAGGGGCAACACGAGCGAGCATCGCCACCGGCCGGATGCGTGGTTGCCGATGACCGGAAATCGATCGATACCACCCACGAATCACAATGACTTATAAATGAATTCAAGATGTATTCAAATTATCGTTGAATTTGCCATTACATGGTTTCATGGTGAATCGTACATTTCTATATTCCTATCTAAGGAAAAGCTTCAATAAAATACAACTAACCAATCACAGTTCGAAGCCCCGCCCACTAATTGTGCAGCTTCAGTTTACTATTGGTCATTCGTAGAATACTTTTATTATATGGCCGGACGAGTTACTCTTTAGATTTGCTTAACTAATTACTGTTATAAATGCTTATGTGAAAAGACCAGCCAATGTAATACCTTTAAGAAACGATCAACTGAAGGGCCCAACTTTTATCGGAAAAATGGGTTCCCCTTAGCCAAAAATATCTTGTCAAAGGAAATCCTAATGTATTCTAACACAAACATGTACTAGTAGTGCCAAATTGATCGATTATCGATCAAAGCAAAACCCATTGAAGGAGTAATTTCGTCAGTACTGCCCAACTTTCTTGAACCGGCTAAAATCCATTTTATGCTACAGAAATGACTGAAAAGGCAAATTTCCCGGAAGTCGATTGATTAAATCCTATTTCTAATTTGACCAACCGTTCTGCTGGACATAGCACCAGAACATCGTGAAGTGTCAACTTCGCTTAATCACTCTTTCTACCCGACCATTGTCTAACCGCATATTCGACCTGACGTTTCAGGGAAATCGCCACTTCCAAAGACAGCCGAGTTCATTCGGAAGAATTATAATCGGAACGGTTCGCGCTACTCCATTATTATAAAGTCGTGAATAGATTTGAGCGATCAAAATACGAGAACTTAGGGGCCAACAATTATGTCCTGACTGTAGGACCCAGGACTAATTTAGTCCTTGGAAAGGACGGCGTGTGGCCAGAACGTGGTCGAATCTGTTACTACCCAAAATCGGACTGTGTAATTAAAAATGGCTACGAATTTTGTACAAACTGTAAATACAGCCCATATTGTTTATGTGGGGGTGGGCCTCTTTTCAGATGAGAAAGAGGGCGCTTCCTGAGCTTCTGATAACCCAAGGTGGGATTACAACGGGAATCTTATGTGCAGAACTTGGCAATCCCTTCAGATCTTTTTCGCTTAATGCGCAATCTCTGTCTGCTATTTGAATGTTAATCCATCTCATACCATAATTCACCAATAACAAGTAAAATGTACCAGTACCATACCTACTATCTACACTACTTCTTTAAGGAATCGTCGAAGGGTCCTGTGTTAGGTACAATAGATCAACACAATTACACCTAGCCACCTCCTGGGCACAGAATCGGGGTATTTGGTCAGCTCGATTCTTATTTTAAAAAAATCTTTCTGGAAGTGGCTACCTATTTATCATCCGGAGGTCGAAATAGACAGGCCAAACCATTTCAGAAATTTCCCAGAATTCCCGAGAGAGTGCTTTGCCGACATGGTGTACTGCCAAACGACACATTGTCACATGTATGATCCCGAGATCGGGATCTGGATCTCTATTCGCTCGAGCCAACCACGCTTTTCACCCCTTCAATGTCGATTTTATGGTATCAGACTTGTGTGGAAGGATAGAAGCCCAGAGTGGTGCACCGGCTGGGCAGGCAGAGCCTTCAAAAGTCACTATGATACTGAGTGGAAGTCAAATGCGCAGGCGCATACCAGAACGGGATCGATCAACGCAAAGACTTCATCTTTGAGCCCCACAAACACTTTTCGATCACCTATTTACCTGTTGACTCCCACTGGGACTGAGCGCATTTCGTCCAGCGTTGCTCATTCCATCGTCACTGCTACCCTGAGGTGAATGTCCAGCCGAACTGCCACGTGGACGTGGCTTTGGCGCATAATACGCCAGTGGAAACTTCTGAAACCGGGCATCTTCGTATTCGTGAACAGAAGCGCCGTCATGAGGGGGCCTATCACCAACGTCGGTCGCATTATTACTCACCCTGTTCGGCTTTCTCTCGTACAGTTTGCCGTCGCTAACACGTCCGGCTTGAAACAGCTCATCGATGCTCTTGTTCGTGTCGACATAGGTGAACACCTCACACACCGACGGACCCGGGGCCGCCGTCGACATTTTGTGCTGTTTCGTTTTCTTCGAAGCCATCCCTGCCTGAATATGTAATCACAGTAATTCATGGGCAACGAGAAATTCCATTAAAAAATTCGACATATTACCAAAAAATCGCTTTGATAAATCGATTGCAAATGACGAAGGAAATGGCGGAAAACGAGTCATGGAGGAACGAACGGGGAAACCGTCTCCGAAACGCGTCAAAATTAGAACGTCACAATGGGTGCCCCCGACGGGATTGGTTCACCTCATCTTTCGGCTCACTTCTGATTTGTGACAGATGTCCGGGATTTGCAATGACAGATAGGATGAGTCAGAAGGTGTAACGACAATGGCAACGACAATGAAGGCACAGAGAGGAGAACGGAGAGGAAATGGAAAGACTGCAGGAAAAGGAGTTTCAGTCTGAGGTCCGAGATGTAGAAGGAGTCAGATAAAGAAGGTGAAGCTGCACCTTTGTGCGAAATTGGAGCCTCACGCTTCTGATGGCTCGACGACGACGACCACGTGACATCGAGATGGAGGAGGCGTAGCGACGATGGCAGAAGCGACTATGGTAGCGAAGGTAGTGGCCGTTGACGGGATGCCTTTGCCATTCGGCAACGCCTATTTGATGACTGTACTTGTGCTATGTAATCCTCATCGTATGATGTGCTGGCTATAGTGATGGCAATTGATGTCTCATCAACATACAGAATACCTCTTCAGCCACACACACACACATACATACACATACACACACATACACACTCAGAAACTACAACAAACTCATCTTACACACAGACATCAGCTGTTGTAACCCAACCGAACCTATCGACCTCTTTCACACGACCAGAGGAGACACTCGTCCACGTCGTCGCCGGCCGTTGTCGTCATCGTGTTGCCGCCACCGTCGCTGCTGCGTCCCCGATTCTTGGTACTTTGGCTAGCGGTCACCGACAACTACTATACCTACTAC